CGCGATAAGGTGCGTGCACTGGGTGAGAAGTGGGTACGCGGGGAGGAGAGGGAGCGAGGCGTGGCCTTGAGGGGGGGGAGCGAAGGCTGAAGACGTGGATAGGGAGGGAAGATGTAGTTTGAACGTGTCAGTTTTTAGAGTAGATGCTAGACTGAGAGGTACTCACACTATTGTACGGGAAGGAAGAGGGTGAAGACTTGGTCCTATGGTCTGATGAGCTGTCCACCTGGACTGCTGTTGGCATGTGGTGTGTGGCGTGCGTGCATGCATGCATGTATGCCTGCGTGTGTTCACTCGCAGGTGCATGGTAACAACCTCGAGCTGCAAGCTCTAGCGGAGCTCTTCAACCGCCCCATCCACATCTTCTGCTACTCCACAGGTCCGTGCCTGGTGCCTGTTGTGCTTGAGTTTCGAGTCGACTCAAAAGTCACATCTTCCGCTACTCCGCAGGTCCGTGGCTGGTAGCTGTTGTGCTTGTGGGTAGTTCTTGTGGGGCTGTTGGATGGGTGTGGGTGGCTGTTGTTGCTGGGGTATTTGGGTGTGTATCCTTCGTCCCTTTCCTCTGTTCCCCCTCCCTCTGTGCCTCTTCCCCCACTCCCCTTCCCCGTTCTCCTTCACCCATCCTGCATCTCCCATCCCCCCGCTCCCGTCCCTCCCATTCCCCATCTCCCACCCCCATCACAGAGCCAATCAACATCTTCCAGACAGCGTACGACTCGTCGCTGCCGCCCATCCGTTTGTCATACCACCGGCGCCGCCACTACAACTCGCTCGTCGACCCCTCTCAGCCCAACACCGGCGTGGGGCTGGGGCTCAGCGCGCTGCAGGTGAGCTTTTGAGAATTCTCAAAAAGTCGCTGCCGCCCATCTGTTTGTCATACCACCGGCGCCGCCACTACAACTTGCTTGTGGACCCCTCTCAGCCCAACACTGGCGTGGGGCTGGTGCTCAGCGCGCTGCAGGTGCGACTGCTAGAGAGAGGTTGGGGAGAAGGTGGATGGATTGAAGGGATGGAAGGGAAGAAGGGAGGGGTGACAGATAAAGGGGTTTTGGGAGTGTGGCTGGGCAGTGGGAGTGGTATTCGTGTTAAGGGAGGCTGTATGAATTGTGCATGCCTGCATGTGTTGCACCTGTAAGGGAAAGCTCGTTCATAGCAGGCCCCTGAACAAGATTCACATGGTTAATGTGTTGCAGCTGGACAGCAGTGTAATTTGCTTTCAAAAAACTGTTCCTTTCAAAACGTTCTGCACCATGCCTCACCTCACCACATCCCAATCCACACCAAGCCTCCAAACCTTTTACTACATTTGCACCTAACCGCACCACAGCAGGGCGGGCAGGTGCAGCCATCTGCAGTGAAGCAGGCGATGCAGGAGCAGCAGGATGCAGTGGTGGAGCAGGCACTGGTGTGCGAGGCACAGGCGTGCTCCGACCGCCAGCTCACAGAAGAGGCTCTCGAGCTCGCTGTTATGGAGGCCAGCTATAGGGAGTACGTGCAACGGCAGCAGCAGCAGCAGCAGCAGCAGCAGAGGGGCGTTGCTGTATACTCACCAGGTTACGTTCGGCCGCTTCGCCCAGTTCCATTCCATCCTCCACCTGCCCCCAGTGCTCTGACTGCTCCTGCTGCCCGCACGTTCATCCTTTCTTCTTCCTCTGAACTGCAATTCCCATCATCATCGTCGTCCTCCTCCTCCTCCCTCCGACCTTCTGCTGCTGCTGCCTGCGGTAAGTGCCTTGTGCTTGCAGCCTGGTGATGGGTTTCCAGTAGAGTTTGTTTCTCCTTGTCTATTTTGCCAGGAAGCGTGCCTCCATGCTGCACTCTCTCTGCGGTTTATGTTTTGAATCTGTCCAAATCCCAATGATATTCAGTAATTTCTGTAGAGCATGCCTCTCTGTATTGCAGGCCGGAATGCAGCAGCAGGTGCAGCAGAAGCAGCAGTAGCAGCTGGTAAAGTTGCCTCCACTCCCTCCACCCGCTCTCGCTCTCCCTCTCCTCCATCTGACCTGGCGCCTACTCATCCTCCCTACTCCGCTTCACCTACCAACAATCCCAGCACCGCCACCACCACTGGCGTCACCAGCAGCGGCAGCACTAGCAGCCCGTCCGTTCCATTTCCACCTGCCCACCACCCTGATAAAGACCTTCCCTCCGGCACCATACCTGTTGCTGCTGGTGCATGCGCGACAGCAGGCCCTGGTTGCAGCAACGACTGCAGCAGCAGCATCAGTAGCAGCAGTTTGGGCAGTGGCAGCAATGGCGGCAGCAGCAGCAGCAGCACCAGCAGGGCGGAATTCGGCACCAGTAGCAACAACAACAATGGTGAATGGAGGCCTATTAGCAACAGCAGCGGTTGTAACCAGCAAGAGAGTAACACGTCGACAGGGCACCCAACATGTGCCAGCATTCTTCTGTCCATGGGGTTTTTTGAAACAGCCGTGGCGCAGGCTGTCAGCTTATTTGGCGAGGACCTGGACTCGTGTCTGTGCTTTCTGCTGCAAATCGGGGCTGAGACGCATGCCACTGGGAGGCAGGCTGGTGGGCTTGATCGCAAGGGGAAAGCTGCACAATAGGGTGCATGGTGGTACTGATTGGTCTGTTATCAAGTGGTGTGGTATCGGAGCACTTGGTTCCAGTCCAGTGGATGTTGGTACTGTACTAAGTACACATACGTACTCTGCTACCGAGTACAGGTGATGAACGTCGAAGTGCTCCGATCGGAGAAGCAGCAGTAGCATTTGGGGGTGCTGCGAAGTGGGTTACGGTATGTTTAGTGCGGCAGTCAATGCAATGGGTGAATTGGATTCTTGGAATGTACATACGGAATGGTAACAAAGCAATGCGTGTTGTTCTGTTGGAGTCTGGTCTGGGCAGAAGCCGCACTGTTGTGGGTGAACGATTGGTGCATTCAAGGATTGCTCTGTATATTTTAGGTGAAGCCATGGTTTAGGCTCGCATTGAAGGGGTGCTATGTTCCTAACCAGCACCAACTCTGCTGTAAATGTCTGCATTGTACTTGCCTGTGCAGTGTAGATCTGTTTGTGTCACTTGGGGTGGCTTTGAAAGACTGTCGCGAATCATGATTTGTGTCCATGTCTTCCAGTACCTATGGTAGGTACTACAACATGAATAAGCTAACATCCACTTAACAAGATCAGGCAATGGATTCAAACTGAAATGCAGCCCAGTAAATGGGATGAATAATGCTAGCGCCATAATGCTCAGCCAAAAACATCTGACGTAGTGTACACGTGTCTATAGCAGCTATCCACCAATCACTAACGCTCCGTCTCCCAACCCCGTTCCCATCCCGGGTTTCTCCTATTCCACTCTTGATCTCCAAATTCCACTCTAGCTCTCCAAATTCCACTCTTGCTCTCAAAATTCGACACCCCTTGTTCGTTTCTCCCTCTCCCAACAGTCGTTAGCTCTCCCTGGCAATCTCGCCTGACCCATTGGGTGCTGCAGCAGCAGCATCACCACCCACCGCAGCCATTTCTTGCTGTGGTGGTGGGTTAAGGCTGACCCCCTCATCAAGAGCAGGCAGGCGGATCACCATCTCCCTGTGCTCCTGGCACAGCGCACATGGGTGCAGGATGCAGTGCACGCAACACGGATCACATGGCGCGTTCTGGTTGGTTAAAAAGGGGGGGATCGGGGACAGAGGGGAGGAACGAGGGAGGTGAGAGTGTGGGGGAGGGGAGGACTGTGGGAGTGCGGAGAGGAGGTGGGCGGGGGCAGCAAGATGGTGGAAGGGAGGGGATTTGAGGGGATGCGGGGGATCTGAGTAAACGGGAGGGAATGAGGGGCGATGAAGGGGGATGAGACGGGGTGAGAGGAGGAGAGAGGGGATGGCCGGGGGTGAGAGAGATGTGAAGGATGCGAGGAAACAAGAGGTGAACAATTGAGAAAGATGACGGAGGGAGGAAAGCTGGGAATAAAAAGTACAAGTGGGTCCTGAGATGGGTCCAAAAGGGTCGAACACAATGGCACAAGACCGAGGTCACAATGGTGGCAGGCAGGTCAGAGAAAGGGCCCAGCTTACAGTATTTAACTGTCATCCAGCTTCTTCTTTAGATTCTCCTCCTTGTGTTGACATCATGGTTCGATAACATCTGTTACTACTTGTTCATTCAACCTAGCTCTCCGATGTCCATTCCTCTACCCCCACTGAACGCCACACTTTCCACGTTCTGACCCCAGACCTTTTCCCTCCCAGTCCTACCCAACCCTCTCAACTTCCAAACCAAGCCTCCCTTTCCACCACGCGCCTCCTACCCTCTCCGCTCCCCTTTTCCCCTTCCACCCCCCCTTTCCCCTCCAACACACACCTTGAGGTGGTATTTCTTCTGCAGCTCTTGTCGAAACAACCCCGTGTAGATGCCGCACATCCACCAGGCGAAGAAGAGCGTTTCCCCCAGCAGGAAGAGCGTCTGCGGGTCCACCGTGATGTATGCGGGGCAGCACAGCAGCGCCGTGCCCAGCGCCACGCCGCCCTCGATGCACATCACGTGGCACGCGCACGCGGCCGACCACGGGATGTCGTCGCGTATCGCCTCCACGTTCTTGCCGAAGAGGACGCACGGGCAGAACAAACCTTGGATACCTGGTGCGGGGCGTGTGGGGCGTGTGGGGCGAGTGGGGCGCGTGGGGCGCGTGGGGCGCGTGGGGCGCGTGGGGCGCGTGGGGCGCATGGGCAGTGGGATCGGAGAGGTTTGAAGGCGATGAAACCTCGTGGGGGAAGGACAGGGGATGAGGGGTGCAGGAATGGCAGCGACGGTAGATCCCAGAGCGTCACAGAGACAGCGGATCAGCATGACTGGGAGGACGGCGAGAACGAATCAAGGAGTGCGCATGTCGCATGGACGCTGACGTCACGGGTCGAAACAAAGCGCACGGCACGGTACGTACAGCTGCGTTGATCCTTGAAGCACGCGAAGATGCCCGTGCTCCACGGCTCGTCCTGAGGCGGCTCGTACGACTGCGGCAGGATTTGGCCGCACTCGAAGCACCGCTGCACATCCAGCTGTAGTTATGAGAGGAGGATCGGGGATCGGACGGCGAGTAAACGTACAAGTTAGGTGGAGACGGGAGATGGAAAAGATACAGTTTTACAAACAGCAATTTACAGCATCGCAGAGCCTTTCAGGATGGACAGAATTCAATATCCAATCTATCCGTGCTTGCATGTGACCTTGGTTAATAAGTGTGCTACTACGATGCAACTATGTGTGTTCCGCTCGAAGGTTATTCGCAAGACCTTGGATTACCTGAATTGGTTCATCATTCCCTTCTACACACCCCTTGTATGACCATTAGCAGCACACATAAACGGAGATCGGAACCTCCGGAAGGGCCCACCCAGTGGACAGAACCATCCAGGGATCAACAAAGCAAGGATAAGTTAAGGGCACTGGCGCATCTGAGGGAGCACGGTGCACGGGACGACTTTGAAGCACCTGTAATGATCGCTAAGAGTATGGCGTATGGCGTACCTGCGGGACCTCCACAGGTTGGCTGAGCTCCCCGGGCTCCGTGTCTGGTTGGTCCGTGATGTACTCCTTCTTCAGCTTCACGTACTGCGACGGATTCGATGCGTCCGATGACATTTTGACCGATCTCGCTGGCGGAATTTGAGGAGATCTAGATGCGGTAAAACGGTTGAAACGGAGATGGAGTAGGGGAGTTACTGGTGGCTGTCTAAGAGATCGACAGCGCGTGTTGTGGTTTCAGATTGAATTGTGTATTCCGACGTCCGGCTGTAGAGTGCGTGGGGATGTGTAACGCTGCGAGATTCGTGAACGTGCTGTTGTTGGTCGGTGAAGTAGCTGATCCGTATCTGGCAAGAAATGCCTCTAACCGATAAGGACTTTTGGTGCCAATGAGTAAATTCGACGCCAGGGGTGCAGCAACAGAGGTGCACTGCTTCTCTATCCCGCTAACTGAGAAAATTACGCTCAGGCCGCTGACGGCGAATATCACGTACACGGCTACCAACTGAATGAAAAGGATCAGAAGCTTTGGTTTGAGCACAACACAGAAGCGTCCTCAGATCTCTCTTCTCTGCTCCGCACTTAGGGATCTATGGGGCTGCTGAACCTGCGCGATTCAAATTTGGTGGTCGATTACTCGTCGGAATGTAGAACCTGCGGAATCTAGGAGCGCTGAACGGACGGAACACTGACGGACCGTTTGGTCAATCAACAACATTTGGACAGCCAAGGTGACGGTGGGTAGAACCTGGATTCCGTCGTGGCCAGTTCCCGAGGAGATGGGATGGGAAGGGAAGGCGGGGCATAAATCACTGGCAGGCATCACCCGTGGCGCAATCGGGGTTGGGCATGGGGTCAGAATCAGAAGCCGACAGCAGAAATCAGAGCTGAGAAAGTCTGACGCCACCTGCGCGGGAAACGAATCGTCTACTTCCGAGCCTCCTGTGATTGGCTGCGTGAGGTGTTCGTGTTCTGGTCCTCGTGAAACTTGATGCTGGTACAGTGTGAAGGGGGCACGCCTTAGCTGGGCGTTTTACCGTACTTGTCCGGAAAATACGAGAAAAAAAACCACCCCGATACGAAAATACGAGTGTCATTAACAAATCAGAAACTTGTTTCTGGAATAAACTCATTACAGTTTGCACCACCAGTGGTATTATTCTTGTGAAACAAATCATTAACCGGCAGTTCAGCAACCTGTATTCTTCACCTCCGAATCCACTTTGCTTCCTTGCACAGTTTCAACCTCTTCCCTATGTTGACTCTCCTCATTGCCAGCAGCCACAGTAACTGCTGCACCATCATCCCCAGCATCAGCAGCAACATCAGCAACATCACCATCACCATGGAGGTCAGCAGCAGAGCGTTTATCTGTAACATCACCACCACCGTCACCATTAGCAGCAGCAGCAGCAGCAGCAGCAGGATCAACAGCAGCAGGTTCCACCCCCTGACGCACAAGACCATTCCCATCATCCCCCACATCCTCCCCTGCCTCCGCCCTCTCAGCCTGCAGCAGCTTCATCTTCTTGAACTCATCATAGTGCCGCTTCCTGTGCTCCCTGAAGCTCGGCGCCACGCTCCCCATTGGCTCCTTGCCCTTCCCCTTGTCCCTCCCTGTGCTGTAGTATATGTCCGCATCTGGTGGAGAGGGAGAGAGGAACGGGGCAGGTAACAGTGGGGATTAAGCTTAGAAGGACGGAGCCAGCAGATAGAAACGGGGCAACTTTCGGAAATTTCCTAAGAGAATGTCAGCCTAGGGAGGAATCTTGGGTTGACAGTTGACAATAAGAGTGAAGGCCGAGATTGAAGAGGATCAGGAGTGAAGAGGGCCAGGGACATGTACCAAGCAAGGAGGCAGGAGCAGTGCCGGAAGCAACAGCGGCAGCGAGAGTCGCCGGGTCTTTGTATGTGTGGCCTTGCTCCTCCATCCATCCTGTCCAGGGCCGACGGGTGCCATGCCATGCCATGCCGTGCAAAATATGGTTGGTGCATTGAGTGTTACTTGGTCGTCCAGCTGTTTGCTAGTAGTCACCCAACTCAGACTTAAAAACGACATCTTCGCAACTCTGTTCATTGAGAGATCATGCTAGCTTCATGGCATGCTGGCTTGCTGGTCTGTTCTGTCCAACGTACGTTCAAACTCCGAGTGATCCCCTTCGTCCTCTGATGACGTCCACTCGCTCACTCGACTGCTCCCTCCCACCACCGCCGCCACTCTTGCTGCTCCTGACCCTCCTGCCGTTCCTCTGCCTGCTGTGGCTGCACCTGCCGTGCTGCTTCCAGGAAGGTGCTCTGGGTGAGGAAGCGACAGAGAGGGGAGTGGGTGGAATGGGAGAAACAAGTGGAACTGAAGCGAGGGTAGGAGCCAGACACACAAATACCATTGCTCCCCTCTCCTTTAATCTCCTCCCCAATAATCCTCTCACTTGCTCCCCTCCATCACTCCCCTCCCATCCGCATTCCACTTCCCCACTCCTCTCCGCCACTCCTCCCCCCCACAGCGCGCGGCACCCACACCTTCCTCGGAGTCAGGGCCCAGGGAGTGGAAGGGCGTCTTGGGCTCGTCGATGCGCTGCCGCGGCGTGCGGTGCTCCTCCCAGTACGCCAGGTTGCCCTCGTCCCACTGCACGCGCCGCCGCCTGGGGTGAGGGGGACGGACGGGTGGGGAATCAGGTGGGGAATCGGGTGGGGCCTTGGGGGAGTGGGTGATGGGGGAAACCCGCAATCCCTGCTCTCTGCACCCCCGCGGCCTGCGGTGCTCCTCCCAGTACGCCAGGTTGCCCTCGTCCCACTGCACGTGCCGCCGCCTGGAGGGGGGGGAACGGGGAGACGGGGGGATCAGGGGGAGGCGGAGGGGGAAGGCGGGGGGGAGGTTGGTTGCGGTGGGGAAGCGGGTGGGAGCTGGGGGGGGTGGGTGGTGGAGGAAAACCATAATCAAGTGTGTGATGAGGAGGAACACTGTGGCAGGAGGGGGAAGAAGGGGAGGGGTGGGTGTGGGGTGGGGGGGTTGTTGGGGTGGGGGGAGAGGGGTGGGCACTTGAGGCGGGGAGGGGTGAACACTGTTGACCCATCGATGAAGTGCGTGCTGTGAGCGTTGCTTCACCCTGCTCTCCCCATTTCATCCCCTCTCAGCGGGGTCCGTTCATTTTCTTACCATTCCTGCATCGCTCGAGTTCACATACCCCACGTTCATTTTCATACCATCCCGCATCACAGCACTCTATTCGCATTCCCCATGTCCCATTCCCAATTCCCCACTCCGCATTCCTCATTCCGCGGTTCCCAAATCCCCGTTCCCCCTTTCCCAGACCGCAAGTCCCCATTCGCTTCCCCCGTTCCATCACCGGTTTCCATCTCCATACCGTGCCTTCTTCTTCTTTCCCTGACCACCAATTCCCTCCTGAGATCCCGGCTTCACCTCCTCCACCGCCACCGCCGCCGCTCCACCCGCCTTTTCCCCTGGAACACGCGCCTCGTCTGCACCGCCATCACCGCCGCGCGCTGCGCCAGTGGTACCTACAGCAACCGCAGCAGTAGCAGTGACATCATCCCCCTCCTCCCGCAACCGCTTAGCAGACGGAATCGGCGCCGGCACCGCCCCCGTCTCCGCCTCCCCCTGCGCCGCCGCTCTCTCTCCCCCTTCCGCTGTGGCGGTCTCCGCCGCTGGCGGCGGGGCTTCCGCCGCACCTGCGACACCAAGGAGAGGCTTTTCCTCGTCGCCGGCCGTTTTTACTTCCCCCGCTGACCCCGCCTCCCCCGTCGTGATGTCTCTCGTCGCATTCTCGCACTCCGCAGCCGCCTCCGGGCCTGCGGAAGCAGGGATTTGCTGCTCCGATCCTGATATCCCCGTCATTTAAAGTTTGAAATCCCCCCTCACTCCCTCTTTTCCAGTCAATTTTCGTTCCGATGGTTCTGTGAGTCCTTTTTTCAACACGAGATATCCGGTTTGAGAATGATTGTTTTGCGTCGTCAGGAAGGCTTCGAACGCACACAGCCGAATTCACGCAGGGCGATTGCGGCGAAGGAAACGAGAGATTGCGGTGTGGGGCGTTCACAGCGCGGGAAAGTGGCGGTGATCACGGCGAGAGTAAATTATTGGTGCAAGGCAAACAATCGGTGCACTATACGGGGGGTTTAGGAGTGATCTTAGCATTATTGGTGATTGTGGGTTGTTCTTGCAGTTGTGGTACAGAACGGGAAGAGGTGGGGAAAAAATGTGGTCCGACCATCGCTAGTGAGTGCTTCACGATTACGCTGAGCATTTTTCGCTGTAGGCGTTTTGAAGTTGTTATCGCACGTGTGAACATTCTCGGAAGAAGATTTGTTCCATGGTGGGGTTGAGAAAAAGCCAGCTCACAACGGCTTCCCTTACCTGTCGTGTCATTCACAAGTGTTTCCACGCCATGCCATGCTGGTATATACTCATGCCAGCATTGTCGGCAGCTTCTTCAGCACTGAACAAATGCCGTGGCGTGAAATTGCACATTTCCTTGACATTAGCGGCTCGGTCCGGATGGCCTAGGAAGCCACTATTTTTGCCGATGACCTCAAAAAACGGGGTGCTGAGACTTATGGACTTCTGAATGTTTCCAGAATCTGTTTCCCCTCCTTAGAGTTGGCCGCCCCAGTAGTCCAGCAAAAATCCCTACCTAAGGATTGAAAAAATCCATTCACCAGTCTGACACTCACTGGCCACATTGTGTTTAGCGGCACATAAATCGGTAGGGAAAAAACTACTAGCCAAAATAGGAATCCTCTTTCCACAAATTTCGAAGCTGATCAAAGCGTTCCGAGTCTAGGTGTCAACGAGCCCCACCCAGCATGCACAGGACGCAAGCTGTGGATTTCCACCGCACCACCTCGTGAAACGAAGCGGTGTCTCCGCCACGCGATACCCTACTGCAAACGGCATCTTGCTTGAAACAGCCGCTATCTGAAGGCTCAAAGACGATTATATGGCTTGTCGAAGTAAAGGGACACCGACCTGCTTTTTTTCCTGGAAACACACGAGGGACGTCCTTTCGGCCCGACGCGTGCGCTCTTCGTCCAAGCTGTCGTCGCTGCTTGAAAAGAGTCGAGTTCCTCACACGGAATCTTCCCACGTCAGATCCTCGCCAGCGTGTACAGCAAGGAAATTTCTTCGCCTCCCGATCCGCTCTCTGGGCCTCGCTAGCCTATAACGCTCTCGTAAAAGTTTATGGCTTGAGCTCAGCTGCTATCATCTATGTTGTGACTAATCATCCCGAATCTCTGGACACTTGTCTGCCTGCTATTATGAGCCGTCGTTGTTAGTGACCTCAGGTCAAAGAGGCCTCAGAACTTAGTCTTCACACCATCGCGACATCGGTCTTTCTTGTTACGGTGGCATAAAAGCATCAACAGGCATCTCTTCTCCACCAGAAAGAAAGCAGCACGCGTTTGATTGGTTCTCGAGAATCCATACGTCACGCACCTGCAGTGGCGCGCCCACACATCTCGAGACATGGATTCCGCCAAGACTGCACCTGCAGTCGTATCCAACGGGAATCCTTCCGCGGATCATCATCCTGTTGCGCCCGCCGCTAGTACCTCTAGTAGCGCGGGAGGCGCGCGTAAGCCAGCGCGGCTGTTTCGGCAGCCGAGTCGCGTGACGGAGCGCATGGCGAACTGCCTGCTGGAGAATCGCAACGAGATTGTTGATACTCTGTCCCGGTATGTGCGACCGCCGGGTCGCGACATGTGGCAACGGTCACGGTGGTATCATGCCGGCTTGATAACAAAACCAAATTCTTGGAATGTAGAGAGGCGAAATAGAGTTTCAGAATAATTTTCTTTCGCAAAACCTCTTTCTCTGCCACTCTACCTCCAATTGCCCGCTTCCTTTCTTAAATCCGGTTGCATTACCCTTTCCGGGTCGTTGCCCTTTCTTCCCTTCCCCCCCGTCCCCTCCCCCTCCGTCCCCTTTTCCCCGGCAGGTGTCTGCAGTGCGGAAACGGCATTCTCCTCCCCCACCAGCTCATCGATCAGCTGCGCGCAGCCAGCGCCGCGCGCCGTCGCCCGCACGCCACCCCTCCGCGCTCCCCGCGCATAGCCGCGTCCCCGCGCTCTCCCGCCGCCATCGTCACGGCAGCCGCGTGGGGAGCCGCGGGGGGAGCAGCGGGCGGAGCAGCGGGCGCGCTGATCCCTGCAGACGCGGAAACCGCCAAGGTGCTGGAGGGCACGGTGGAGGCGGTGCGCAGAGTCGGTTCTGCGGACCTGGGGGCCGGGCGGAGGGCGGCGGGGGGGAGAAAAGCGGGCGCGGGCGCAGTCGCGGGGGAAGCGGCAGCAACAGGGGCCTCGGCGGACAGGTTCGACAGGGTGGACGGGGACGAGGAGGGGGAGGGGGAGGAGAGTCTGGAGGACAGCCCGTTCGGGAAGCTGCTTCTGGCGTCGCAGGAGGCGGTGGTGGTATCGCCGTGGGTGGCGCTGGCGGTGCGTGTGCGGCCGGGCGAGTGGCAGCACGTGAAGATCAACGCGGAGGAGGTGCTGGTGCAGGCCATGACCGTGCCCGAGTACCTCGCCTTCAAAGAACTCCTCGTTTCGTCCAACGGGTATGTTTGTCTGGCTCTCTGTCGCTCTGTCAGCCTGCTTGTCTGTTGGTTTGGATCCGTTCAGCTGCCACTTGTTACCGTATTAGACACCTGGATGTTGTTCCTTGCTCCTTTCAACACACTTGACCTAGCCGCAGCGCCTCTGTGTTTGCTTCGTGTCGACATCCCCCTTCCAACTTCTTTCCATGCTCCCCATCGCCTTCATGCTTGGAAGCTTTACTACTGTACTCGGGGGCCCTGCCAGGGGCAACCCATACTACCTATTAAAGCTTTACTCTGGGCCATTCAACACATCATTCCCAGCTTCTATTCATTGCTCCCACCCTCCCTCCCGGCTCTCGATTTCCAACACAGCACACCACCCAGCCAGAGTCCCGATGAGCGACAACCTGTCTGTACAGTGTGTTTTAGCTGACCCTACGCGCCGTTCAACACATCATTCGTCACCCCCTCCCGTCCCAATCCCCACCACACCGCTCTCAGAGGCCCAGCAAGCGACAACCCGTACTACGTGCTGGAGCTAGACTTCGGCCCGTTCAACGCGTCCTTCCCGCGGCTGACGCAGCCGCGGTCCATCGGGCACGGCGTGCACTTCCTCAACCGCTACCTCTCCTCGCGCATCTTCGCCAGCCAGCAGGGCTCCATCCAGCCGCTCGTTGACTTCCTGCGCCTCCACAGCTACCGTGGCCAGGTGGGTGTGTGCGGATGGGGAGAGGGGAAAGGAGGGGTACGGGGGGATGTGATGGGGGTTACAGGGTTTGTGTGGGGTTGACAGGGGTTTTAGGAGGGCTTGAGGAGAGGAGTAGAAGGCGGTGCGTGATTGGCAACCTGCATGCACAGTTCTTGTGCATGTCATAAGGCATTCAGAGGGCGATTGGGAGGAGGGGGAAGGGAGGTTGTTAGGGGGAGAGAGTTAAAGGGGTTTTACATGACTGACGCTTCTGTGTATGTGCGATTCTTCTGGTCGTTTCTCTCCCGTTCGTTCATTTTTTTCATTCCCACTCCTCTGATCTCTTTCCTGTTTGTTTGCCCTCCTCTTTATTCTTTTGCCCTCCTCTTTATTCTTTCTCCATTACTTGTGGTGATCGGTTAAACGATTGTTGAAATATGACCCGCTGTTCCATCCCTCCAGCCACTGATGCTGAGTCAGCAGATCGAGACACGTGACCAGCTGAAACGTGCTCTGACGCGGGCGGAGGATCTGCTGGGGTCGTACGATGACGAGACTCCTGTTGGACACGTGGCAGAGAGGTGAGGCACGTGGCGGAAAGGTGAGACACGTGGCATGCAGCTGGGGGACGTGGGCAGGAGAGGCAAAGGGAGGCGAGGGAAGGTTGTGAAGGTGAAGAAGCAGTGGAGATGAGTTGCTTAGCAGCACTACATGCTCCAAGACTATTGACATGCCCCACATGCCCCACATGCCCCACATGCCCCACATGCCATGGTTTCTTGGCCGATGCTCACCTCTTCCCTCCTCACACCCAAATGCGCTTCCCTCCTCACACCCAAATGCTCTTCCCTCCTCACACCCAAATGCTCTTCCCTCCTCACACCCAAATGCGCTTCCCTCCTCACACCCAAATGCTCTTCCCTCCTCACACCCAAATGCGCTTCCCTCCTCACACCCAAATGCTCTTCCCTCCTCACACCCAAATGCGCTTCCCTCCTCACACCCAAATGCTCTTCCCTCCTCACACCCAAATGCGCTTCCCTCCTCACACCCAAATGCGCTTCCCTCCTCACACCCAAATGCTCTTCCCTCCTCACACCCAAATGCGCTTCCCTCTTCACACCCAAATGCGCTTCCCTCCTCACACCCAAATGCGCTTCCCTCCTCACACCCAAATGCGCTTCCCTCCTCACACCCAAATGCGCTTCCCTCCTCACACCCAAATGCTCTTCCCTCCTCACACCCAAATGCGCTTCCCTCCTCACACCCAAATGCTCTTCCCTCCTCACACCCAAATGCGCTTCCCTCCTCACACCCAAATGCTCTTCCCTCCTCACACCCAAATGCGCTTCCCTCCTCACACCCAAATGCTCTTCCCTCCTCACACCCAAATGCGCTTCCCTCCTCACACCCAAATGCTCTTCCCTCCTCACACCCAAATGCGCTTCCCTCCTCACACCCAAATGCTCTTCCCTCCTCACACCCAAATGCTCTTCCCTCCTCACACCCAAATGCGCTTCCCTCCTCACACCCAAATGCGCTTCCCTCCTCACACCCAAATGCGCTTCCCTCCTCACACCCAAATGCGCTTCCCTCCTCACACCCAAATGCTCTTCCCTCCTCACACCCAAATGCGCTTCCCTCCTCACACCCAAATGCTCTTCCCTCCTCACACCCAAATGCGCTTCCCTCCTCACACCCAAATGCTCTTCCCTCCTCACACCCAAATGCGCTTCCCTCCTCACACCCAAATGCTCTTCCCTCCTCACACCCAAATGCGCTTCCCTCCTCACACCCAAATGCTCTTCCCTCCTCACACCCAAATGCGCTTCCCTCCTCACACCCAAATGCTCTTCCCTCCTCACACCCAAATGCGCTTCCCTCCTCACACCCAAATGCTCTTCCCTCCTCACACCCAAATGCGCTTCCCTCCTCACACCCAAATGCTCTTCCCTCCTCACACCCAAATGCGCTTCCCTCCTCACACCCAAATGCGCTTCCCTCCTCACACCCAAATGCTCTTCCCTCCTCACACCCAAATGCGCTTCCCTCCTCACACCCAAATGCGCTTCCCTCCTCACACCCAAATGCGCTTCCCTCCTCACACCCAAATGCGCTTCCCTCCTCACACCCAAATGCGCTTCCCTCCTCACACCCAAATGCTCTTCCCTCCTCACACCCAAATGCTCTTCCCTCCTCACACCCAAATGCGCTTCCCTCCTCACACCCAAATGCGCTTCCCTCCTCACACCCAAATGCTCTTCCCTCCTCACACCCAAATGCTCTTCCCTCCTCACACCCAAATGCGCTTCCCTCCTCACACCCAAATGCTCTTCCCTCCTCACACCCAAATGCGCTTCCCTCCTCACACCCAAATGCTCTTCCCTCCTCACACCCAAATGCGCTTCCCTCCTCACACCCAAATGCGCTTCCCTCCTCACACCCAAATGCTCTTCCCTCCTCACACCCAAATGCTCTTCCCTCCTCACACCCAAATGCGCTTCCCTCCTCACACCCAAATGCTCTTCCCTCCTCACACCCAAATGCGCTTCCCTCCTCACACCCAAATGCTCTTCCCTCCTCACACCCAAATGCTCTTCCCTCCTCACACCCAAATGCGCTTCCCTCCTCACACCCAAATGCGCTTCCCTCCTCACACCCAAATGCGCTTCCCTCCTCACACCCAAATGCTCTTCCCTCCTCACACCCAAATGCGCTTCCCTCCTCACACCCAAATGCGCTTCCCTCCTCACACCCAAATGCTCTTCCCTCCTCACACCCAAATGCTCTTCCCTCCTCACACCCAAATGCGCTTCCCTCCTCACACCCAAATGCTCTTCCCTCCTCACACCCAAATGCGCTTCCCTCCTCACACCCAAATGCTCTTCCCTCCTCACACCCAAATGCGCTTCCCTCCTCACACCCAAATGCTCTTCCCTCCTCACACCCAAATGCTCTTCCCTCCTCACACCCAAATGCGCTTCCCTCCTCACACCCAAATGCGCTTCCCTCCTCACACCCAAATGCGCTTCCCTCCTCACACCCAAATGCTCTTCCCTCCTCACACCCAAATGCGCTTCCCTCCTCACACCCAAATGCTCTTCCCTCCTCACACCCAAATGCTCTTCCCTCCTCACACCCAAATGCTCTTCCCTCCTCACACCCAAATGCTCTTCCCTCCTCACACCCAAATGCTCTTCCCTCCTCACACCCAAATGCGCTTCCCTCCTCACACCCAAATGCGCTTCCCTCCTCACACCCAAATGCGCTTCCCTCCTCACACCCAAATGCGCTTCCCTCCTCACACCCAAATGCGCTTCCCTCCTCACACCCAAATGCGCTTCCCTCCTCACACCCAAATGCGCTTCCCTCCTCACACCCAAATGCTCTTCCCTCCTCACACCCAAATGCTCTTCCCTCCTCACACCCAAATGCGCTTCCCTCCTCACACCCAAATGCTCTTCCCTCCTCACACCCAAATGCGCTTCCCTCCTCACACCCAAATGCTCTTCCCTCCTCACACCCAAATGCGCTTCCCTCCTCACACCCAAATGCTCTTCCCTCCTCACACCCAAATGCTCTTCCCTCCTCACACCCAAATGCGCTTCCCTCCTCACACCCAAATGCGCTTCCCTCCTCACACCCAAATGCGCTTCCCTCCTCACACCCAAATGCTCTTCCCTCCTCACACCCAAATGCGCTTCCCTCCTCACACCCAAATGCTCTTCCCTCCTCACACCCAAATGCTCTTCCCTCCTCACACCCAAATGCTCTTCCCTCCTCACACCCAAATGCTCTTCCCTCCTCACACCCAAATGCTCTTCCCTCCTCACACCCAAATGCTCTTCCCTCCTCACACCCAAATGCGCTTCCCTCCTCACACCCAAATGCGCTTCCCTCCTCACACCCAAATGCGCTTCCCTCCTCACACCCAAATGCTCTTCCCTCCTCACACCCAAATGCGCTTCCCTCCTCACACCCAAATGCGCTTCCCTCCTCACACCCAAATGCTCTTCCCTCCTCACACCCAAATGCTCTTCCCTCCTCACACCCAAATGCTCTTCCCTCCTCACACCCAAATGCTCTTCCCTCCTCACACCCAAATGCTCTTCCCTCCTCACACCCAAATGCTCTTCCCTCCTCACACCCAAATGCTCTTCCCTCCTCACACCCAAATGCTCTTCCCTCCTCACACCCAAATGCTCTTCCCTCCTCACACCCAAATGCTCTTCCCTCCTCACACCCAAATGCTCTTCCCTCCTCACACCCAAATGCTCTTCCCTCCTCACACCCAAATGCTCTTCCCTCCTCACACCCAAATGCTCTTCCCTCCTCACACCCAAATGCTCTTCCCTCCTCACACCCAAATGCTCTTCCCTCCTCACACCCAAATGCTCTTCCCTCCTCACACCCAAATGCGCTTCCCTCCTCACACCCAAATGCTCTTCCCTCCTCACACCCAAATGCGCTTCCCTCCTCACACCCAAATGCTCTTCCCTCCTCACACCCAAATGCTCTTCCCTCCTCACACCCAAATGCGCTTCCCTCCTCACACCCAAATGCGCTTCCCTCCTCACACCCAAATGCGCTTCCCTCCTCACACCCAAATGCTCTTCCCTCCTCACACCCAAATGCGCTTCCCTCCTCACACCCAAATGCTCTTCCCTCCTCACACCCAAATGCTCTTCCCTCCTCACACCCAAATGCTCTTCCCTCCTCACACCCAAATGCTCTTCCCTCCTCACACCCAAATGCTCTTCCCTCCTCACACCCAAATGCGCTTCCCTCCTCACACCCAAATGCGCTTCCCTCCTCACACCCAAATGCGCTTCCCTCCTCACACCCAAATGCTCTTCCCTCCTCACACCCAAATGCGCTTCCCTCCTCACACCCAAATGCGCTTCCCTCCTCACACCCAAATGCTCTTCCCTCCTCACACCCAAATGCTCTTCCCTCCTCACACCCAAATGCTCTTCCCTCCTCACACCCAAATGCTCTTCCCTCCTCACACCCAAATGCTCTTCCCTCCTCACACCCAAATGCTCTTCCCTCCTCACACCCAAATGCTCTTCCCTCCTCACACCCAAATGCTCTTCCCTCCTCACACCCAAATGCTCTTCCCTCCTCACACCCAAATGCTCTTCCCTCCTCACACCCAAATGCTCTTCCCTCCTCACACCCAAATGCTCTTCCCTCCTCACACCCAAATGCTCTTCCCTCCTCACACCCAAATGCTCTTCCCTCCTCACACCCAAATGCTCTTCCCTCCTCACACCCAAATGCTCTTCCCTCCTCACACCCAAATGCTCTTCCCTCCTCACACCCAAATGCTCTTCCCTCCTCACACCCAAATGCGCTTCCCTCCTCACACCCAAATGCTCTTCCCTCCTCACACCCAAATGCTCTTCCCTCCTCACACCCAAATGCTCTTCCCTCCTCACACCCAAATGCGCTTCCCTCCTCACACCCAAATGCTCTTCCCTCCTCACACCCAAATGCTCTTCCCTCCTCACACCCAAATGCTCTTCCCTCCTCACACCCAAATGCTCTTCCCTCCTCACACCCAAATGCTCTTCCCTCCTCACACCCAAATGCGCTTCCCTCCTCACACCCAAATGCTCTTCCCTCCCCGTCCTGTCCTTCTCCTTCTCCCTTCCACTCATCGCACCGCTCCTCCCACAGGCTGCGAGACCTAGGGCTGGAGCTGGGGTGGGGCAACACGGTGGGGCGCATCTCAGAGACCGTCAACCTGCTGCTCGACATCTTCCAGGTGCCGCACCGCCCCGCACCACCCCGCACCACCCCGCCCTCCCCGCACTCCCCACACCACCCCACACCACCCCGCCCTCCCCCGCACCACCCTGCCTCAAACCCTCCTGCCTGCTTCACTGCACCTCTGCTCCGCTGCGCTGCTGCATTGCTGTGCATCGCTGCATGGCGCCCATGGCTCCCCTCCCCCGTGCTCTGTCCGTCTGCACTGCAGCAATGCGGCACCCACGGCCACCATGCTCACCTTCTCTACTCACTCTGCCGCCGGCCGGCCCTCTCACTGCCACCTCCGCTCCTCCCTCTGCCTGCTGTCGCACGCACAGTTGTTGCTGTCCACCTACAGTGGCCGAACCGGACACACAGTCACCCTCCCTTCCCTCCCCTCCCCGCTGCCTCCTTCAGTTTCCCTTCTTCTGCTCCTTCGTCTTGCAAGAATGGAACCACCCTATATCCCTGACACCACACCACCCCCTTTCATTCCATTTCCCCCGTCCCCCACCCCCCTTTCCCTCGCCACCCTCCATCCTCTTTGCTCCCCCCCCACACCCACCAACCACCAGGCCCCAGATGCCAACACCCTGGAGAAGACTTTTGCGGCGCCTCAAAAGCCACTCACTGCCCCCGTTTGCTTCCCTCCCCCCCCCCCAACTAACCACCAGGCCCCTGATGCGGACACCCTGGAGAAGTTTCTCAGGCGGCCACTTTTGAGGCGCCTCAAAAGTAGACTCCTTCCCACCGAACCCCCTCTCCCCCCCCTACCATCCCCCCCTTGCTCGCCCTCCCCTCCCTCCCCCAACCAACCACCAGGCACCAGACGCGGACACCCTGGAGAAGTTTCTCGGGCGGCTGCCCATGATCTTCGACGTGGTGATCCTGTCGCCGCACGGGTACTTCGGGCAGGCGAACGTTTTGGGGCTGCCCGACACGGGCGGGCAGGTGGTGTACATCCTGGACCAGGTGCGCGCCGTGGAGAAGGAGATGCTGCGCTCGCTGCACCTGCAAGGGCTGGACAGCCTCTTCCACCCCAACATCGTCATCGTGAGTCGCTGAGGGGATTGGTTGGGGTTGTGAGGGTGGAAGGAGGGGAAGGAGGGGACGGCAGGGGGTGTGCAGGGGTGTGGGGGGATGGGGGGGGGAAGGGAGGGAGTGTAACGGTTCAGGGGGGTGTGTGGGTGTGTGGGGGTACAGCCTACAGGAGCGCGGGTGTGCGGAGGGAGGGAGGGAGGGAGGGAGGGAGGGAGGGAGGGAGGGAGGGGAGGAGGGAGAGCGGGCGGGCAGGTGGTGTACATCCTGGACCAGGTGCGCGCAGTGGAGAAGGAGATGCTGCGGTCGCTGCACCTGCAGGGCCTAGACAGCCTTTTCCACCCCAACATCGTCATCGTGAGTGGGTGAAGAGGGGGTTTGGGGGGGTGTGCAGGTGTGTGGGTGGGCAGAGAGAGTCCAGGTGCGTACATGCAGGGGTGCACCTGCAGGGCCTGGACCGCCTATTCCACCCCAACATTATCATTGTGAGTCGGTGTCAGGGGGGGGTTGGTGGGGTGGAAGAGGTGAGAGTACGCAGGGGTGTGGGGGTGGGGGGGGGGTGAATGGTGTACATCCCCGGAGGTGCACCTGCAGGGGCTGGACCAGGTGTGATGGATGGTGGCGTGGTGGACACTGGGTGGTGATGGTGTGTGTGGTGTGTGTGGTGTAGTGCAGCTTGCAATAGTTGCCTGTATGCGCCACTGTTGAGAATTCTCAGAATGTGAACATCACAGTGCAGAGCACACATATCAGCCATCCCACACCCCACGCCACCCTGCAAAGAAAACCACGCACCGTTGCCCTCTCCTCCCCCAGGTGACGCAGCTGATACCAGAGGAGCGCGGCACAACGTGCAACCAGCGCATAGAGGCGCACATCTCTTCCACATCTCCCATCCCTCTGCCTCTCCCGCAGCAAAAGTGACACAAGCACACCCCTTCCACCTCCCTCCTCCCATCCCCCCGCCTCTCTTTCCCCAATCGCCCCACCTCCATCCCACTTCCCCTCTCCTTTTCCAGGTGACGAGGCTGATACCGGAGGCGCGCGGGACGACGTGCAACCAGCGCATAGAGGCGGTGGCGGGGACGCAGTTCACACGCATCCTGCGCGTTCCCTTCCGCACGCAGCATGGCATCGTCTCCCACTGGGTCTCACGCTTCGACGTCTGGCCGTACCTCGAGCAATTCACCGAGGTGCGTGTGGCCAGAGGAAGAGGGGAGCGGGGTTGGGGGTTGGGGGTTGATAGCACGGGGAAGCGGTGGTGGTGGGATTTGGTGTGTTGCGCTTCGACGTCTGGCCATACCTCGAGCAATTCACCGAGGTGCGTGTGGCCAGAGGAAGAGGGGAGCGGGGTTGGGGGTTGGGGGTTGATAGCACGGGGAAGCGGTGGTGGTGGGATTTGGTGTGTTGCGCTTCGACGTCTGGCCGTACCTCGAGCGGTTCACCGAGGTGCGTGCGTGCGCGCGTGGGTGGGTGGGAGCATGAGAGGGGAGGGGGTTGGTGCATGATAAAGCTGAGAGAAAGAGAAAGGAGGGGCAAGATGGTTGTAGCTTTGGTGGTCTGGCCTTGCGCTTCGACGACATCAGGCTGTACCTCGAGCAGTTCACCGAGGTGCGAGGGTGGGTGGGTGGGTGGGTGGGTGCAGGGAGAGGGGAGGGGAGGAGAGGAGTGGAGAGAAGAGGGGGAGGGGAGTCGGGGTTGATAGCGCCCGGAGATGGTGGTGGTGGTGGTGGTGGTGGTGGTGGTGGTGGTGGTGGTGGTGGTGGTGGTGGTGGTGGTGGTGGTGGTGGTGGTGGTGGTGGTGGTGGTGGTGGTGGTGGCAGCGGCTTTGGTGTTGTGGCGCATTAACCCACCCGTCCCCACCCGTCCCCACCCACCGACCCACCCACCTGTCTGTGTGCCCCGTGCAGGACGTGGCAAAGGAGCTGCAGGTAGAGCTGGAGGGGTTATTGAGGCTCCTCAACAAACCATCTACCCGTTCCCACCCACGGGCCCACCCACCCACCCACCCACCCACCTGTCTGTGTGCCCCATGCAGGACGTGGCAAAGGAGCTGCAGGTGGAGCTGGAGGGGTTATTGAGGCTCCTCAACAAACCATCTACCCGTTCCCACCCACGGGCCCACCCACCCACCCACCCACCTGTCTGTGTGCCCCATGCAGGACGTGGCAAAGGAGCTGCAGGTGGAGCTGGAGGGGTTATTGAGGCTCCTCAACAAACCATCTACCCGTTCCCACCCACGGGCCCACCCACCCACCCACCCACCGACCCACCCACCTGTCTGTGTGCCCCATGCAGGACGTGGCAAAGGAGCTGCAGGTGGAGCTGGGGGGGCGGCCGGGGCTGATAATCGGCAACTACAGCGACGGCAACCTGGTGGCCACGCTGCTCTCGCACCAGATGGGCGTCACTCAGGTGCGCGCACCAGCTGTAAAGAATGAACTTCTGAGTCGTCTCAAAGATTCACTTTCTACACGTGGCTTCTCTCGCAGCACATGGGCGTCACTCAGGTTTTGCGCGTGCGCCATGCACGGGTGGGTGGGGGCGGAGTCATGGGTGAAAGGCCGGCGAAGCGAGCAAGCGAGCAAGCGGGCAAGAGAGAGAGAGACACGTGTAGAGAGGGTGTGTGCTGTAGCAACAGCAACAAGTGGAGGCCAGGGATGCTCGCAGCAGCGGCAGCGGCAGCGGCAGCGGCAGCGGCAGCGGCAGCAGCAGCGGCGGCTAGCCTACCTCTCTATGCCCCTCCACCTGCCAGTTTCTGCCCACGTACTAGGGCACTACTAGAAAGCTGCCTCTCCCCCTCACCCCCAGGCACTCGGAAACTCTCCCAGGTGACCTCCAGGCACACCACAGGTCCACATGCAGTGTACATCTCCAGCATCTCCCATCACGCACATGCTAGAGAAGACCAACTATTTGAATACCCATCTCCCTCTTTTAACATCTTTCCTGTCTCCCTCCCATTCTCCCCTATCTCCCCCCCCCCCTCCCGCCTCTTCCAATCCTCCCTCCCCTCCCCCCCCAGAGCAACATAGCGCACTGGATAAGACCCCCTAGTACTTGGACTCTACCCGGACCCCCGTCTCCTTCTTTCTTCCCCTATCCCCCATTCACTCCAATCCCCCTTTTCCCACCCCACCCCCCACCCGCCGCGCAGTGCAACATAGCGCACGCGCTGGAGAAGACCAAGTACCCGGACTCGGACCTGTTCTGGCAGCGGCACGACGCGGCGTACCACTTCAGCTGCCAGTTCACGGCGGATCTCATCGCCATGAACCACGCCGACTTCATCGTCACCTCCACCTTCCAGGAGATCGCCGGCAGGTGCGCGCGGGGGGAAGGGGGGAGGGGGAGAGGGGGTGGGGGGGGGGGAAGGGGAAGCGGGGGGTTGGAAGCGGGTCGGGTCGGGTTGGAAAGAAGTATCGGTTGGTTGGGGGTCATCGGGTACGCAAGTGGTGCTTGCTCCAAGCGTCAGCGCGGATTCTGATGATCCTGCCTGCCTGCCTCCCCTTCACGCACCCTTCCCCTTTTCCCCTTCTTCCTCCCCATCCACCCTCCCGTTCGCCCCTCTTGCTCCCTATTCCCCGTTCCGCCCTTGCATTTCCGTCCCCATTCTCCCCCCCACTTCTCCCCCCCACCTCTCCCCCCAGCCTATCCTCCAACACAGTCGGGCAGTACGAGTCGCACCGCGTGGTGAACGGAGTCGACGTGTACGACCCCAAGTTCAACATCGTCTCTGCCCTCCCCCTTCCCCACCTCCTCTCCGCCTCCCGTTTCCCCCTCCCCCTTTCTCCCTCCCCCACTCCCCTCTTTCCCCTCCTCTTCCCCCCCCCCGCATTTCCCGCAATCTCCCCCCATCTCCCCCGCCCCAGCCTGTCGTCCAACACGGTGGGGCAGTACGAGTCGCACATGGCGTTCACGATGCCGGGGCTGTACCGCGTGGTGAACGGAGTCGACGTGTACGACCCCAAGTTCAACATCGTCTCCGCCTCCTCCCTTCCCCCCCTCCTCTCCGCTTCCCCTTTCCCCCCCCCCCCTCTCTGTCCGCCTCCCGTTTCCCCCTCCCCCTTTCTCCCTCCCCTATTCCCCTATCCCCTCCTCTTCCTCCCCCATTCCCCGCAATCTCCCCCCATTCCTCCCCCCCCCTTCTCCCCCTCCAGCCTGTCGTCCAACACGGTGGGGCAGTACGAGTCGCACATGGCGTTCACGATGCCCGGGCTGTACCGCGTGGTGAACGGAGTCGACGTGTACGACCCCAAGTTCAACATCGTGTCGCCCGGCGCCGACGACGACGTGTACTTCCCCTTCTCCGACTCGCGCCGCCGCCTCACGTCGCTGCACGCGGGGATCCGCGACCTGCTGTTCGGCGAGCCCGACGGCGAGGAGAAGGCGTGAGTGCGGGTGCAGGGGCGGGGGTAGGGGGAAGGTGCGGGGGAGGAGAGGAGGGGAAGGGGGGGTGTTGTCGAAGGTCCACCTTTTTACGAGACGGGGGTAAGCGTGAGAGCGAGGGCAGGCTTGGCACGCGGGGTGGGGGTAGGTGTGGAGGGGAGGAGAGGAAAAAGTGGCGGAATTGGGTTGGGAGGGAGGAGGGGAGGTTCGTTAGGGTGCTGCAAGGAGGAGAGGAGAGCGCACAAATACTGCCATCCCTGCTACTACCTGCTTCTCAACACTGATTTAGACCCCTCTTTTGATTACATGCCATGCCTGTCATCCCTGCTATCAACACATGTTACCCGGCCGTCCCTCCCTCCACCCCCTCTCTCATCGTGTCTCTCTCCTCCCCGGGTCTTTATCCCCCATTGTTCCCACTCCCCCGCCGTTTTCACCATCCCCGGCGTCCCCCACTCAAACTCCCCTCCCCCGCCATCCCCTTTTACCCGTCACCCCTCCCCCAGGTACCACCTATCGGACCCCTCCAAGCCGATTCTCTTCTCCATGGCGCGCCTCGACCGCGTGAAGAACCTCACGGGCCTCGTGCGCTGGTTCGGCGCGGACTCGCGCCTGCGCGCGCTCGTAAACCTCGTCGTCGTGGGCGGCAAACTCGACGCGTCGCAGTCGCACGACCGCGAGGAGGCGGAGCAGATCAAGATGATGCACGCCGTCGCGCTCGACGCGGGGCTGGACGGTAGTTTCCGCTGGATCCGCGCGCAGACGAACCGCGTCAAGAACGGCGAGCTGTACCGCGTCGTCGCGGACAGCCGCGGCGCGTTCGTGCAGGTGAGTAGGAAGGGAGGGAGGAGGAGGAGGAGGGGGGGGGGGGGAGGGGGGAGAGGAGAAGAGGGGGCAGTAGGAGCGGAGGAAAGAAGGGGGAATAGGAGGTGGAGAATTGGGGTGTGGTGGTCGTAGGAGGGCTCTCATACTTTGAGTCGACTCATCACACGCGGAGAATTGGGGGTGTGTTCGTAGGGTAGGGCTCGTAGGAGGGCTCTCATGCTTCGGCGCCCTCGAAACGTACATTCTCGAAAGACCAAAGCCATGCATGGCTTAGACATTCTCGTAACGCGCGCGTTGTCGACAACCTCTCTTCCCGTCTCACTCCGTCCGACCCCAACCTTCCTCCCCACCCCCAGCCGGCGCTGTCACCAAGCATTCTTGGTAACAGCAGCGGCTGCTACCAATGGGCTGTCCACAATCTCCCCTCGTCTTCCCCAACCGCCCTTCTTTCTTTCCCGTCCGACCCCAACCTTCCTCCCCCTCCAGCCGGCGCTGTTCGAGGCGTTCCGGCTGACATTAGTGGTAGAGGCCAGGCCAGGCCACGATGCGCGGGCTGCTGCTGCTGCTGCTGCTGCTGACATTCTCCCCCTCCCCTTGTCTTATTGTCTCTCCTTCGCTCCCCCATTCCCCACCACTCCCACCCGGCGCTCTTCTAGTCGTTCGGGCTGACAGTAGTGGTAGGCGCCATGGCGTTCGGGCTGTCCACGTTCCCCCCTTCTTCCCCTTCCCCTCCCCCCTCCTCTTCCCTCGCCCACACCACCCATCACCACCCATCACCACTCCTCACCACCCCCAGCCGGCGCTGTTCGAGGCGTTCGGGCTGACCGTGGTGGAGGCCATGACGTGCGGGCTGCCCACCTTCGCGACGTGCCACGGGGGGCCGCGCGAGGTGATTCACGACGGGGAGAGCGGGTTCCACATCGACCCCTACCACGGCGACCTCGCCACTGAGAGGATGGCTGACTTCTTTGAGCGTTGTCGCGACGAGCCCAAGCACTGGGACGACGTTAGCGCCGCTGCTCTCGCTCGGATCCAGTCCCGGTGAGGAATCTGGAGGGAGGGAGCGTGGGGGAAGAGGGGTGTGGGATGGAAGAGAGGGGGAGGGTTGGGGAGGTGACTATCACGTGAGCCTGTGGGTGTGTGTGTGTGTGTGGTTTGCGTTGCGGTGGCATGAAGCCAATCCCACTGTGTGGGCTCGTGTGGGGTGGGAAAGGAGAAAAGAAGGGTTAGGTGCGTGAGGCCATGTCACCCCATACCCCCCATTCCCCATTCCCCAATTCCGACATTTCCACATTCCCCCATCTCCCCATTCCTCCACCACCAATCAGGTGCACGTGGGGATTGTGTGAGGGTATGTGTGGGGAAGTTTAGGGGAGCGCACATATCCTCTCCTCTCCACTCCCCCCTTCCTCCATCCCTCCCCTTTCCACCCTTTCCCATCGCCCCGTGGCCCTTTTATTCGCCCATTTCTGGATCTCCCTATCCGTCCATACTCCCATCACTCCATCCCCCGCCCATCCCCTCTCCTTCTTTTCCGCCCTCCCCCCGTTCCTCCCCTCACTCCTCCCTACCACCGCTTCCCCACTCCCCCTTTCCCCTTTCCCCCTTCTTCCTTCTGCCATACCCCCTCCTCCCATCGCCCCCACCAGGTACACATGGGGCATATACGCGGAGAGGCTGATTACGCGATCCCGAGTGTACGGCTTCTGGAAGTTCGTGTCATCTCCTTCTTATCCGCCCTTCGCTCAGTCCTCCCCTTACTCCTCTCCCGCTACCCTTCCCCCTTCCCCATTCCCATCCCCCCGTCCTCCCGTCGCCCTCACCAGGTACACGTGGGGCATATACGCGGAGAGGCTGATGACGCTCTCCCGAGTGTACGGCTTCTGGAAGTTTGTGTCCAACCTGGAGCGCCGCGAGATGAAGCGCTACATCGAGATGTTCTACATCCTCAAGTTCCGCCAACTGGTCTGTGGGGGGTGGGGTGCGGTGGGGTGCGGTGGGGTGGGGTGGGATGGGCTGGCTGTGTTTGAGGCGCCTCAAGAACTAGAGCGCCGTGAGATGAAGCGGTACATCAAGATGGTGTTGTATCCCACATCCTCACGTCACGTGACTTTTGAGTCGACTCAAAAGTCACCTCGCTGTACTCCACGTCCTCAAGTTCTGCCAACTGATGTGCTTGTCTGCTCTGTTGTGGGGGGTTCTTTTGGGGGGGGGAAGGGGAGAGGGGAAAAGGGGGGAGCGGGGGAGAGGTGTTTCTGGGTGGGGGACGGGAGCCTGTGGGGTGGATAAGGAGTGGAGGGGGCAGAGGTATTTGTTCAGGTGGGCGGCATGTTCTTGGGTGAGCTGTTTAATTTTCCTAGGTTTGCCAACTCCTCAGTGAGTGGGGCTGGGGGGGAATGGGGGGTGGTTGATTGAATGGACGAGTGCGGTGAGGATAAAGAAGAGTGTGTGTGGCGTCCCTCTGCTGAGGCCAACGTTGAGTTGTTTGCAACCTCGCCTGTGGGAGGCAAGCAGTACGTTGAGCTGCTGTGATACGTTTGCGAGTTCCAATTTTTTATTATACAGTCGCGGTGAGAAGATGGGAGTGTTGGGGAAGGGTGGAGATGTACGGTAACACACCACAATGTGAGAAGCAGGAAAGCTTCTCTCATTCCTCCCGGTCTTCCGGTCTTGCTGTTGCAAGAGCTGGGCTTGCCTACCACTCGTACGGTACTCGTCTCATGGCCTTGTATGCGAGGTGACTTTCTCGTCGACTCAAAAGTCACCTCGTTCCGCTCGGTCTTCCGGTCTTGCTGTTGCAAGAAATGGGCTTGCCTACCACTCGTACCTCGTCGTCTCATCTCATGGCCTTGTATGTTTCCCACTCTCCACTCTTCCACCTCTTCTTTCTCCTCCCCCCGTCCCCCAACCCCCGCCGCCCACGTGGGCTTTCTCCTCCCTCGCATGCACGAATGCAACACGGCAGGTCAAGACCGTTCCAACGACAGAGAAAGAGGAAAGGGATTGACCAGTGACATGATGAGACGAGATTTGTCCTGTGGGCCATGTGTTTAGGCCATAGACTGTTTGTTCTCTAGTACATGTAGAGTGGTGGCCCTCCATTAGCTGTGGCTTTGTGGGGATGTAGGTAGGATAACATCAGGGCTCTCGTTATCAGGGTAAAATACCTTTTTTGCATTAACTGACGGCCGCTTTTTTCAGTTACCCTTTCACAGACCGAGTAGTGGATTTTTTACCCTAGGCCAGAAAGTGTAAATTTTTTTGTACCCTTTGAAAAACAGCGTAAGGAACTTATTTCCCTGACTGTACAGTGAACAATCCCAGTAATACTGAGACCGAATGCTCCGTAGCGAGACGAAACACTATGCGGGCCCCTGCAAGCAAAACGATCCCAGAAGCAAGATTTGAACCTCCCCTTTCAGATCCAAGCCGCAACACAACCAGCTTAGCCACTGAATGTTAAATTGAAAAATTCGGCAATATTTAAAAATACCCTTTCTTAACAGACTTACTTCTTTTACCCTGCATTTGTCAGGGAAACAAAAATTTTACCCTAGGCATCAGGGTTGACTATACCTACCGGTAGAACCCTGATTACTAAGGGTGGCCCAAAACGAATCTGAAGCCCTGGATAACATGCGTGTATCAGGCCTTCAATTGTCTGCACAGCATGCATTCCAGTAGGTGTTTCTTGGCCTGTTGATAACCTTAGGGCACAGTGAGAATGGATTTTTCAGGGTTGAGGCGAAAGGTGGATGTTGTGGGGTCATGTGTATATTGCTGAACTGTTCAAGAACTGTGGAAGTGGATTTCACAGGGTTGTGCCCAAGAACTGATCAAATTGAAGGATATGGTACCGTTTGTGAGATGATCACACAGGGTACGGTACAATCTTTTACTAGGCAGACGCACAGACTAACTTGTGATGACAAGTATTCAAGCTGTTTACATAGCCATAGATATCTTTCATACTAGACTGCCGCCCAACTGCAGAAGCGGCACCAAATGCAGCACCAATTCATCCAAATTGGTATATAAAACAGCGATCCTAACTCAAATCAAGACACCCCATACACAGCAGCCCGGAGCAGCCAACAGCTCATCCACCACGCCACATTTACAGGTACTTCTCAACAGTAGCCACGAGCGTGGCCTTGGGAACTGCTCCAATGACCGCATCCACCTTTTTGCCGCCCTTGAACACCAGCACGGTGGGGATGCTGCGAATGCCATACTCGGTGGGCACGCCAGGGCTGTCGTCCGTGTTGAGCTTGTAGCACGCCATCTTGCCTGCATACTGCACTGCCAGCTCGTCAATCAGAGGCGCGATCATGCGGCACGGGCCGCACCACGGGGCCCAGAAGTCCACCAGCACAGGCGTGCTGCTCTCAAGCACCAGCTGCTTGAACGTCGCGTCAGTCACCTCTCCTGCTGCTGCGAGGATGGGTGGGAAAACATAGAGGAGGGGGGAACTGGGTTACAGTGGCGGTCAAAGACTGTGGTGACAAGATGCATTTTACTGCACAGAGAATGATGGGGGAGGAAAGAAGTTATGTGGTTGGAGATGCGCGGATGGCAGGAAGAGGGGACAGCTGATGCGAGGCGAGGAAAGGTGGCGATGCGTGTACGGAGGGGCTTGAACATGTTAGTGATGGGATGAAAAAAGCGTGACGAGTGAGGGGAGGACGACGAATGAGAGGAGGAGGAGGAAGAACGAGTACGAGGACGAAGACGAGTGAGAGGAGGAGGATGGGTGACGAGTGAGAAGAGGAGGACGAGTGAGAAGAGGAGGACGAGTGAGAAGAGGAGGACGAGTGAGAAGAGGAGGACGAGTGAGAAGAGGAGGACGAGTGAGAAGAGGAGGACGAGTGAGAAGAGGACGAGTGCACGGCGGAGGACGTGAGAGGAGGAGGACGAGTGCGCGGAGGAGGACGAGTGAGAGGACGAGCGAGAGGAGGAGGACGAGCGAGAGGAGAAGGACGAGCGAGAGGAGGAGGACGAGCGAGAGGAGGAGGACGAGCGAGAGGAGGACGAGCGAGAGGAGGAGGACGAGCGAGAGGAGGACGAGCGAGAGGAGGACGAGCGAGAGGAGGACGAGCGAGAGGAGGACGAGCGAGAGGAGGAGGACGAGCGAGAGGAGGAGGACGCGCGAGAGGAGGAGGACGCGCGAGAGGAGGACGCGCGAGAGGAGGACGCGCGAGAGGAGGACGCGCGAGAGGAGGAGGACGCGCGAGAGGAGGAGGACGCGCGAGAGGAGGAGGACGCGCGAGAGGAGGACGAGTGAGACGACGATTGGCATGAGGACGAGTGAGACGACGATTGGCATAAGGACGAGTGAGGGGAGGAGAACGAGTGAGAGGAGGACGAGTGAGAGGAGGACGATCGAGACGAGTACGAGTGAGAGAAAGGGGACGAGTGAGAGGAGGAGGACGATAGAGAGGAGGACGAGTGAGAGGAGGAGGACGCGTCAGAGGAGGAGGAAGAACGAGTAAGAAGAGGACGGAGGACGAACGATAGGAGGATGAAGGACGAGCGAGAGGAGGACGAGTGAGAGGAGGAGGAAGGGTAAGCGGAGACAGGGAGAGGAGCAGGAGTTAAAGAAGTATGAATAGTGAGAAACCAAGTGAGCATGAAGGTTAGATCGCGCATGATAACATAGCCTTCCGACTCGCTAGTTAAGGCTACCGAATCTTAGAAAAAAAAAAGAGACATCGGAGCAATTGCCATTCTTGGCATAGGAAATGCTTTGACAAAGCAAAGAAACTGACATTAGGGCTGTATGTTGACCTCTTATCGTTGACAGAAATTAGCTTGATGCTGTGCACCTGTGGCACGTAACGCACGTACATAATCAGGAGAATCAATTGCCTCACCTGCTTTGGTCCCAGCCGCTTCGCATGTTATCCTCGCGGCACGTCGTGGCCTTACGCTGGCGCTCCTTAGTGACGGGACGCGAAGACCCGCTCGCGAAATTTGATGCGAAGATGCAATAGCCCGAGATGATTGGAGCGTGGAGAGCGACGCCACTGGTGCCACGACCGCGGAAGCGTGCAGCGAAACAGCAGCCATTTCAGCTGACTATGTAATGTAAGGAGCGACGGCTAAGGGAAGTGGCTGCTGATGTCTTGCCGTGTAGAACAATCGGAGCTGACTCACAAGTTCCGAATGTTTGGACTTCAGAAATTAGGCAGCTGGTCAGAGCTCCTTAGCCCAGGTAAGGGTAGAAGTACTAAGGAGCTACGGGGAACTTAGGATCGGGGTGGTCAATAGATACATCTTCAGAGATCAGGGAATGTGTGGACCAATTGAGCCAGAGGGATTTACCTTCGTCAGGACCAAGAGAAGTCATGATTTACTGTAAGTGTTGGTGGGAGAAACATGGTCAGTGTTCAGAGAAGCTCAAATTCCTAGTGAACGATACTGGAAAAACTTAGTGCTTAGGGCTCATGGCTTGCCACGTACACTTTAGTCACACCGCGACGAACGAAACCTGAGATGTGAGGCGCAAGAAATGAGGGCCATACGCCCAGGAGAGGATCCCACATGACGTGGATTTTCTGATTCCACACGTACCCTGAATTCTGTCCACGCTAGGATGCCGTCAGAAAGAAATGTGGCGCCTCGTAGTCCACTCCTTTTCTGCCCACTTGGACAGCAGCTGATGCGTGTCGAGCCTGGCCATCCAGCTCCGCAGATTTCTTCGTTGCCTCGTTGGATAAGAACCAGGTGTCCAGGTCTTGGCCAGGTTCACGAGAAAAAATTGCCTCCATAACACCGATATGGCTGCACCCACACCAGTCGCAGCTCTCCATACACGCTTCTAACGAGTCAATGTCATATACGGTTCATATTTCGCACATAGTAACTCAGCAGCAGCTCATTGTCCTATGCCAATACACGGACGCTTTAGCCCTTAGCATAGATCACATTACAAACCCTTGATGATGGGGTATGAAATCTCTATTGATGTGCATCTAATCGAGTGTGTAATTCCAGATGCATTTCCATGAAAAATATTTCAACATCCATTCACACACGGCGTGTGAAGTCTTGCTGATGGGTTTGTCAGATGATTATATTACTGATGCATATATTTAGGCTGTAGTGGGGTAGCCCATAGGGGGTACAACCCAATTAGGGTTGGTACTTGTACTTGTTTCATTTCATAGTGCACTCATTTTTCCTCGCCTCTATCTCAACATGGTATCGAGCAGGTTCCCTAGTGGGAACTGTTCCTAGGGCCCACCTACTATTCCGTCCTGCCCGGAGCGCGCTCTGCCCTAGCCCGAGTCGCGCTGGGCCTTTTTTTTCCTTTGGCGGCCCGATCGCGTCGAGCCGCCCGCGAATTTTTGACGCGCCACCTACGCGGCCTCGTCGCGCCGCCCCTAGACGGCCGCACCGCGTCGCGCGTGCCGCCCTCCAGTCGCGCGCCGCCCCCCTCTGACCCTCGCGACGCCGGCGCCGTCTCTGACGGCCCCGCGATCGCCTGCGACGGCCCCGCCGTCCCCTCTACCGGCCCCTCCGCTGCGCTTGACGGCCCCGCCGTCCCCTCTGCCGGCCCCGCCGCTGCGCTTGACGGCCCCGCCGTCCCCTCTGCCGGCCCCGCCGCTGCACCCGACGGCCCCGCTGTCCCCTCTGCCGGCCCCGCCGCTGCTTCAGACGGCCCCGCCGCTGCACCTGACGGCCCCGCCGTCCCCTCTGACGGCCCCGCCGCTGCACCTAACGGCCCCGCCGTCCCCTCTGACGGCCCCGCCACTGCACCTACCGGCCCCGCCGCTACCCCTTACGGCCCCGCTGCTGCATCTGCAGGCCCCGCCGTCTCACCTGCCGGCCCCGCTGCTGTACCTGACGGCCCCGCCGCTTCACCTACCGGCCCCGCCACTACCCCTAACGGCCCCGCAGCTGCATCTCCCGGCCCCGCCGCCCCAGCAACTGCGCCGCCCCAGCAGCCGAGCCGCCCCAGCAGCCGAGCCGCCCCAGCAGCCGAGCCGCCCCAGCAGCTGAGCCGCCCGAGCCGCCCGAGCCGCCGAGCCGCCCGAGCCGCCCAGCAGCCGACCCGCCGAGCCGCCCGAGCCGCCCGAGCCGCCTGCACTGCCCTGTCTGGTGAGCACTGAGCTTTACTCTGCGCACTGCCCTTACCCCACTGCTGTCATGGCTACCCCCAGTGTCCTCACCTTCGACGCTGAGGGCAGAGCCATCGACTTTGACGTGTGGGTAGACGACCTGCTGCTTTTCCTACAGTGCGACAGAGCTGACGACCTCTCTCTCTTTGATCTCACTTCTGGTGCCTCTCCCGCCCCTGCTGCTACTGAGGATGCCACTGTTCGCTCACAGTGGGCCACACGCGATGCTGCTGCACGTCTTGCTGTGCGTCGCCACCTCCCTCCCTCTGAGCGTGCACACTTTGGGTCGTACAAGAGTGCTCAGACCTTGTACGACGCCGTTATTGCACGCTACTCCACCCCTGCCACTGCTGCACTGAGCCGCCTCATGCTACCGTACCTCTTTCCCGACCTTGCTTCTTTTGCCACAGTCGCCGACCTCATTACCCACCTGCGCACTAGTGACGCTCGCTTCCGCGCTGCGCTTCCTGCTGAGTTCTGCGCCAAGAACCCCCCCCCCCAGTACTTCACTCTCTACTACATTGTCACCCGCCTCCCTGACTCCCTCCGCGGAGTCAGGGACGACTTACTCTCAGTCTGCCCCACCACTCTCACTGTTAACCTCCTCGAGAAGTCCCTCCTAGCAGCCGAGAAGAGCATTCTCGCTGTAGGGGCCTCTCGTGGTGACCCGTGCACCCCCATCTTTGAGGGGTGTTCCCCCTCCCCCCTCCTGCCCTCTGTCGCCTCTGCTGCTACGGCCGACCTAGTTGGTTTTGAGTCGGTCGGTGCGGCGTCTGCCCCCAGTGGGAGACGTCGCTCTGGCAAGGGCAAAGGGGGCAGGAGCGGTGGTGAAGGCGGCGGGGGCGGTGGGAGCGGCGGTGGAGGCAGCGGAGGAGGTGGGGGTGGTAGCGGGAGTGGTGTCGGGAGTGGAGGTGTCAGCGGCGGCAGTGGAGGCGGGGGTGGCAGCGGCGGTGGTGGTGGGAGTGGAGGCGGAGGCGGCGGTGGCGGCAGCGACGGTGGGAGTGGCGGTGGCAGCGGAGGTGGTGGCGGCGGCGGCGGAGGAGGCGGCGGAGGAGGTCGTGGCTCGTCGCAGAGGAGTGGCTCCGGTGGCGGTCAGCGCCAACAGCAGCGGCAGCAGCGTGGTTAGGAGACCCTCTCCCCGCAGCAGCTCCGTGAGTGGTACGCTGCACGTCAGAGGGGTGGGGGTACTGGTCCGTGCACCTACGTCTTGCGCACGCGCGACCGTGCGGGTGAGCCGTGTGGTGGTCCACACCCCGCCCAGCGCTGCTTCGGCCGCCTGACTCACGCTTGGCGCCGCCAGTTTCCTGACGCCTCTGAGATCCCTCGCTGGGACCAGATGTCTAGGGCAGGAGTAGCTATCTTTGATCTTGACTTTGATGCTATTCTTGCTGCCATGTATGCTGTGACTATTAGTGAGGAGGGTGACTGTTACCGGTGTTTCTCGCCCGACCCGGGCATTGGTACTGCGGCTCTAGGTGCTGTTGAGGCTGCTGCTCCAGGTGCTGGTGAGGCTGTCGCTCTAGGTGCCAGTGAGTCTGTGTCCTCAGGTGCTGGTGAGTCTGCTCTCTCAGGTACTGCGTCGGCTCCGCCCTCTCTCACCTTCACTCTTGAATCGGGGGCGTCTCGCTCCTTCTTTCGAGACCGCACCACACTCACGCCGCTTAGTCGGCCAGTGGCGGTCTCCCTGGCGGACCCCTCTGGGGGTCCTGTTCTGGCTCGCTACTCCACTGTCCTGCCGTGCCCTGCGGTCCCGTCTGGCGCCCTGTCCGGTCTCTACCTCCCCTCGTTCTCTACGAACTTGGTGGCGGGTGCTGACCTACAGGATGCAGGGGTCGACCAGTTCACCCCTGCACGCCGACGGGACACCCACTGCACGGACGCGGACACGGGTCGACACTTGACCACGATCACACGTGGGCCGGGGTCGAGCCTGTACACACTCACTGTTCCGTCTCCTCCTCCTGCGTCTGGTCAGGTAGCTGCGTTGGGTCAGGTGTTTGCTGCAGCGTCCAGGTCTGGTCCTGAGTCTGCCCCCTGCTCGTGTCGCCTCCTGTCCCACAAGACCCTCCTGTGGCACCACAGGATGGGTCACCCCTCCCTGCCTCGTCTCCAGGGCATGGCCTCTCGCCTTCTTGTCTCTGGCCTTCCCCGGTCCCTCCCTCCCCTTCCTCCGGGGCCTGGCCCTCCCTGTGTCCCCTGTGTCGAGGGTCGCCTGCGGGCTACCCCTCACTCCTCCCCGTTTCCTCCGACGGAGGCCCCGATGCAGACGCTTCACATGGACGTGTGGGGCCCAGCCCGCGTCCGTGGACAGGGTCACGAGCGCTACTTCCTGCTGGTGGTTGACAACTACTCGCGTTACACCACAGTCTTCCCCTTGCGCAGCAAGGGTGAGGTCACTGAGGTGTTGATCGACTGGATCCGCGCAGCTCGTCTCCAGCTTAGGCGGAGCTTCGGCTCGGACTTTCCTGTTTTGCGTCTGCACTCGGACAGAGGCGGAGAGTTCTCCTC